AAATGGTTTGAAGTCAGGTAGTGTGATGCCTTCAGCTTTATTCCTTTTGCTCAGGATTACTTCAGTTATTCAAGCCCTTTGTTGATTCTATATACCAATTTTATGATTCTTTTTTCTATTTCTGTGAAAATTGACGTTGGCATTTTGATAGAGATTGCATTAAATCTGTAGATTGCTTTGGGCAGTATGGTCATTTTGCCAAGGTTGATTCTTCTGGTACGTGAGCTTGAGATGGCTTTCTAATTGACTGTGTCCTCTTCAATTTCCCTCATCAGTCTTTTGTAGCTTTTCTTGCAGAGAAAGGCTGTCTTTCACCTCCTTGGCTAAATTTATTTCCAAGTATTTTATTTTTGTAGCTATTGTAAATGGGATTGCCTTCTTGGTTTCTTTATCAGCTTGTTCATTATTAGTGTATAGAAATGCTACATTTGTGTATGATAAAATTCTATGCTGCAACTTTCCTGAATTTATTTTTCAGATCTAAGAGTTTTTTGGTAGAATCCTAAAGTTTCTTTAGATGTAAGATTATGCCATTTGCAAACAGGGACAATTTAACTTTCTCTTTTCCAATTTCAGTATCTTTTTATTTCTTTATATTGCCGATTACTCTAGCTATAATTTCCAGTAGTATGTCAAATACGAGTGCTGAAAGTGGACATGCTCGTCTTGTTCCAGTTCTTAGAGGAAAGGATTTCAGCTTTTTCCCATTCAGTATGATGTTAACTGTGAGTTTTTCATATATGGCCTTTATTATATTGAAGTATGTTCTTTCTATGCCTAGTTTGTTGAGATTTTGTATTATGAAAAGACTAAGTTTTATCTAATGCATTTTCTGCATCTTCTGAAATGATCATATGGATTTTGTCCTTCATTCTGTTGATATGATGTATCGCATGTGTTCATTTGCATATGTTGAACCATTCCTGCATCCCTGGAATAAATTCCACTCGATCATTTAGTATCTGTTTGATGTGCTGTTGGATTCAGTTTGCTAGTATTTCATCGAGGATTTTTGCATCTGTTCATCAGGGATATTGGCCTGTAGTTTTCTTTACTTTTTGCATCCCTCTCTAGTTTTGGTATCAGTGTAATGCTGGCCTTGGAGAATGAGTTAGGGATAATTACCTCATGTTCAATTTTTTTAATAGCTTGAAGAGAATTGGCTTTGGTTCTTCTTTGAAAAATTGGTGGGAGTCAGCATGAAGCCATCCAGTCCTGGAGTTCTTTGTTGGAAGACTTTTTATTACTGATTCAATCTAGCTACTAATTATTGGTCTGTTTAGGTTTTCTATTTCTTCCTGGTTTAATCTTGGTAGGTTGTATGTATCAAGGAATTCAACCATTTCTTTTAGGGTTTCCAGTTCATTACCATACAGTTGTTCATAATTGTCTCTGACACTCTTTTGTATTTCTGTGGCATCAGTTTTAATGCCTTCTTCTTCATTTCTGATTTTGTTTACTTGTATCTTCTTTTTTTCTTGGTTAGTCTAGCTAGTGAATTTTGTTTGCATGTTATCAATTTTGTTCATCCTTTTTTAAAAAAAATTTGTTCATCCTTTGTATATTTTTAAGCTTCTATTTCATTTAGCTCCGCTCTGATCTTCATGATTTCTTTTCTTCTGCTAATTTCGGCTTGGGATTCTTCATGCTTTTCTAGTTCCTTGAGGTGCGTCATTAAATTGTTTATTTGAAATCTTTCCTACTTTTTTGACATAGGCATTAATTACTATAAATTTCCCAGTTAGCATTGTTTTTGCTGTATCCCAGACATGTTGGTATGTTGTGTTTTGATTCTTACTCGTCTAAAAAATTTTTTTATTTCCTCTTTAATTTCTTTCTCGCTCAATAATTTGGGAGCATGTGCTTTAATTTCCATGTATTTGTGCAGTTTCTAAAGTTCCTCTTGTAATTGATGTCTAGTTTTGTTTCAATGGAGTCTGAGAAGACACTCTGCATTATTTAATTTTTAAAAATTTTGTTAAGCCATTTTTTGTGTTCTAAAATATAGTCTATCCTGGAGAATGTTCCCTATGCTGATGAGAAAAATGTGTATTCTCTGGCTCTCGGATGAAATTTTCTGTAAATGTCTGTTAGATCCATTGGGTATAAAGTGTAGTTTAAATTAAACATTTTTTGTTTGTTTGTTCGTTTGTTTATTGTTTTCTGTCTAGATGATCTATGTAATGCTGAGAATGGGGCGCTTAAATTTTCCCGACTATTATTGTGTTGGAATCTCTCTCTCCCTTTAGATCTAATAATATTTGCTTTATACATCTGGGTGCCTTGGTGTAGACAGCATATATGTTTAGAATTGTTATATCATCTTGTTGAATTGATCTTTTGTTTGTTTGTTTGTTTGAGACGGAGTCTCACTCTGTTGCCCAGGCTGGAGTGCAGTGGTGTGATCTTGGTTCACCGCAACCTCCACCTCCCTGGTTCAAGTGATTCTCCTGTCTCAGCCTCCTGAGTAGCTGGGATTACAGGCACATGCAGTCAACCCTGGCTAATTTTTTGTATTTTAGTAGAGACAGGGTTTCACCATGTTGCCCAGGCTGGTCTCAAACTCCTGAGCTCAGGCGATTTGCCCACCTCGGCTTCCCAAAGTGCTAGGATTACAGGCATGAGCCACTGTGCCCAATCCCTTTATCATTACATAATGACCTTTCTTGTCTCTTTTTTAACTTACAGTCTATTGTGTCTAACATTCATATAGCTATTCCTGCTGGCTTTTGGTTTCCATTTGCATAAAATATCTTTTTTCTTCCCTTTACTTTCAGTCCATATGTGTCTTTACAAGTGTGATGAGTTTCTTCTAGGCAGAATATTGTTGGGTCATTTTTTAATCCATTAATTCAACCTATATCTTTCAGGTGGAAAATTTAATCCATTTACATTCAAGGTTATGATTGATATGTGAGGGCTTATTCCTGCCATTTTATTAATCGATTTCTGGTTATTTTTGTATATTCCTTGTTCCTTTGCATGTCTATCGTTGTTTATGATTGTAGTTTGGTGGTTTTCTGTAATGGTAATATTTGAGTCCTTTCTCTTTCTTATTTGTGTGTTTGATCTACCAGTGGACTTTCTATATTTGTGTGTTTTCATGCTGGTAAATATTGTCCTTTTGTTTCCGTATGTAGGACTACCATGAGCATTTTTGTAGGTCCAGTCGACTGGTGATGAATTCCCTCAGCTTTTGCTTATCTTGGAAAGCCTTTATTTTTCCTTCATTTATGAAGGATAACTTTATTGATTACAGTGTCCTTGGCTGGCTTTTTTTTTCTTTCTTTCACACTTTGAATTTATCATCCCAGTCTCTGCTGGTTTGTAAAATTTTTGGTGAGAAACCCACTGTTAGTCCGTTGAGGGTTCCCTTATAAATGACTAATTTTTCTCTTGCTGTTTTCAGAATTCTTTGTATTAGACTTTTAACAGTTTGACTACAATGGGCCATAAAGGAGATTTTTTCTTTTCTTTTTTGCAAAAGAAGACATGCAAGCAGCCAATAAACATATTTTTTAAATGCTCAACATCACTAATAATCAGAGAAATGCAAATCAAAACTATGATGAGATATCATCTCGCAGCAGAGTGGCTTTTATTAAAAAGTCAGAAAATATGAGATGTTGGTGAGGTTGCAGAGAAAAAGGAATGCTTACACACCATCAGTGGGAATGCAAATTGCAGCCACGGTGGAAAGCAGTTTGTTGATTTCACAAAGAACTAAAAATAGAATTATCATTCAACCCAGGAATCTCATGACCAGGTATCTAGCCAAAGAAAAAATACATTATTTTACCAAAAAGACACCTGCATTCCTACGTTTATTGCAGCACAGTAGCAAAGACATGGAATGAACCCTGATGCCCATCAATGATAGCCTGGATAAAGAAAATGTGGCACATATACACCAACATGCAGCCATAAAAAAGAACAAAATCATGTCCTTTGCAGCAATATGGATGAAGCTGAAGGCCATTATCCTAAGTGAATTAACACTGAAACAGAAAACCAAATACTATATGTTCTCACTTCTAAGTGGCAGCTAAACATTGGATACGCATGAACACAAAGATGGGAACAACAGACACTGGGGGCTCCAAAAGGGAGTAGGCAAAAGTTGAATAACCACCTATCAAGTACTATATTTACTATTTGGGTTACAGGATCATTAGAAGCCACAAACTCAGCATCATGCAATATACTTATGTAACAAACCCGCACATGTACCCCCTGAATCTAAAATAAAAAATAAGATGAATCTTTTTTTTTTAAGAAAACCTTTTTTCATTGTATCTGTTTGGGAATCTTTGGGCCTCCTATGCCTGGGTGTCTAAATCTCTTGCTAGACTTGGGAAGTTTTCATATAGTATTTTGTTGAACCGCTTTTCTAACTCTATTGTTTTCTCTTTGCCTTCTGAGACTCCAAAATTTTGAATATTTGGTCACTTTATGGTGTCCTATATGTCATGTGGGCTTTGCTCATTTTTTAAAACATCTTTTTAATTTTTGTCTGTATGAGTTATTTCAAAAGGAAATAGACCTTCAAATGGACTACTGCACCATTTTCTCCGTTTTAAAATATTACTATGCCTTAGGAAGCAATATAGCCAGGAGGCTTATTTGACCTCATACAGGTATTGCTTTCCCACCTGTAATGCCATTCATCCAGAGCTCCCCTTGACCCAGCAAGACTCTATTCAGTCATCAATCACTTCCTTTAGAAAACGTACCCACTACCCATATCACTCTAGAGTTGATTTAGATGTCCTTGTGTTATTCTTAGCATTCGTCATACTGTATGGCAATTCTGTTTCCTCTATTGAACTGTGACTGTCTCCAGGAACAAGAATAAGTTTCATCTTTTTCTTCCTCATACAGGGAAGTGACTACATACAGTAAGGCATCCCACAAATGTTCAATGAATCAACAGGAGCTGCAACGGCCAGTGGAACAATTTATAAGTATGTAAGACTATGTAAAGGAACGTAAAGCCAAACCGCTGTGAAAACCGCATTCAGAAGTCAGTCGGCTACTAGGTACACAGGACAAATCCACTCATTCTCCAACTCCTACACGCCCGGGAAGCAGTTTCACTTTACAGCAAGTTGAAGAGTCGCACCCGCAGATGCCGTAAAAGGGAAAGAAGTCCACGGTGGGGACGAGGATTCCAGTTTTGCTGCACCGTCAGGGCGGGAAAGTTCCCGGCTGTCAGTTGGAGGGTGGGTCCTCGCTCCGCCCCCTCGGGCCGCACTTCCGCGCTTCCGGGAGGCGTGTCCTAAGCTCAGGGACCCCTTGCTGGGTGCCGGTTAAGTCCCCGCTCCCCGTCGCCGGTGCTATGGAGGCGGCGGCGGCGGCGGCGGCGGCGGCGGCGGCGGAGGCGGAAGTGGAAAACGAAGACGGCGACAGCAGCTGCGGGGATGTATGCTTCATGGACAAGGGCTTGCAGAGGTAAAGGGCGCTCCGCAGCTGGGAGCGACCCGCGCATTCCCCAGGGCCGGGGCCGTGAGTGGCTGGCGGCGACCGCGGAGCGGAGGCGCGGCACTACTTAACCAAGACCATAAGTGAACGCAGTCTGGCTTTCGGCCTCCCCACTTCTCCAAAACTGCTCTGCCGAAGTGCCAGGTTGAATGAGCCATGGATGTCTTCCCGCCCGTGTCTCCTGCCCAGCATTTCACACGACTCTGCTTAGCCTTGAAACGGCCCCAGGACCTTGTCCTCCACCAGCTTATGACCACTGTTTCTTTCTGCTGGTTTTGCTTACTTATTCCTTTACTTGCCGTTTAATTGTTGGTTTTCTCGTGTTCTCTCGTCTTTCCTCTTCTTCCCTCTGAAAAAAAAACCTGCAGGATAGTATCTCTGGCAGCTATGAGCGGGCAGTCGCAGCTGCCTGTTAGTTTTGCCTCAGTTCTCCTTGCCTCCATTCGAAATTATTTGTCTGTTACAGAACACTGCAATACATATAGTCATATACTTTTTGAAGTACTAAACTTACTATATTTAGTTCACCGTTTCCCTCTCTCGAAGCCCCGACTTGTGCAAAGCGTATGAGGCACTTGGTTCTGCAATTCTGTAAAGCAGGTCTCCGCCTGCATTTGAGGCTCTTTAGTCTCGACTCTTAACATTTCTCCACTTACACTTTATTTAGCTGTACTGAGCTACAGGCAGTTCCATAGCAGACTTCTCTGTGCCTTTGCATATGCTGTTCCTTTGTAGCGTGTCCTCTACGCGAACTTTGCTACTGATAATTAAACATCTTGTTCTGGATTCTGATTTAAACTTTGCCAGATGATCCCAAGAAGATGGTGTTCAAGGGACATTTTACATTTCTATTTAATACTAGCTGCCATTTACTGAATGCCATCTGTGTGTGCATGTTATACACATTATCACTAATCCTCACGGTAATTTTACAAGGTAGTAATTTTTCTCATTTACAAGTGATGAGTGAGACTCAGAGTCTATTGACAATTTGTTCATCTTTAAACACTTCGTAAAGAATTAAGTTCGGATTCAAACCCATTTTCCGTCTAATTTCACTGTGCTTTTTCTACGATCTCACATTATCTGCACATTATTAATGTCGAGAAACTGAAATGTGTCAGAAAATAAATGACTGTCATTAAGAGCATGTGTTGATAGCATAAGGTCTGGCACTAAGAAAGAACTCAAGTAAATGACAGGGCGGGATAATTGCGAAATGCTCCAGATAGTAACATTTAAAGGTTGCTACTCTGAAATTTGCAAATGCTTCCCTGCTGTCAGAGTTAAGTTTCCTACAGCTGTAAGATAACTGCTACTGAACCTAAAGCAGATGCCCATGACATTGTGTGTCCCTGTTCCTGGCTGTATCTCCCATCCAGCAGCTCCAAACCGTGTGGTGTGCACTGTAGTTTATGTTCCTGGAACTACTATCTTCAGGAGAAGCTTCAGTTTTAAATAGTAATTGGAGTGAAGAGATGAGTTCTGTTTAGGGGAGATCCATTAACTTTCAACAAGGGAGGATAGGAACTTTTTCAACAGGAATTGCAATAACATGGTTTCTTTTTGAAAATGCAATAGACTGTGGATTAAATAGCTATTGCACATGAAGAAGAAAATAATGTTATAATCTCCAGCATGAGATCTGGATTGACATACGCTCTGTTAACATAACTGCAAGAATTTGGGCAAGCTATTTAATTTCTATACACTTCGGTATCCTTAAGATACCCACTGCTTAGAGTTATTGTGAGAATTAATTGAGGTCAGAAAACTGAGGCTTAAGTTGTCATTTGCTCAAATCACACAGCAAAACTGTGGTAGAATGCAGTTTCGAACTGGGATATTAAGATTCCAAAGCCTTTACAGTTATTAACTATTACTCAGCACTGCCTTCAATATATGCTGATGACTGCATGTAGGAGTTAGAAATGCCCACTGTCACTTGCCTCCCTTGAGCGGTTTCTCGTTTGTATAAATAATCCAAAATACTTGGTTATGTTGTAAGAAGCACTGTGTTTTGTGAGACATTTCAAAGGTACCACAAATAGGAAAGATTTCCTTCTAGAATGAATAGAGCCCATATTTAGTATCTGCATGCTGTTTGGTTAATTTTAGTTATTTGGTCATGCTTTTAAAATCTTTTTTTAAAAAATATATATTTTCTTTTGTAGCATATCAGAATTATCTTTAGATTCAACTCTTCATGCCGTCAATCTTCATTCCAATAACATCTCCAAGATCGAAGCCATTGATCATATTTGGAATTTACGACATCTAGATCTGTCATCTAATCAAATAAGTCGAATTGAAGGGCTACACACACTGACAAAACTTTGCACATTAAATTTGTCCTGCAATTTGATTACAAAAGTAGAAGGTTTGTAAGCGATTTTCATATAACACTTAACATAAGGAAAATGATTTAGGTCCATTTTTTTCCCAAAAGAATGGAATAAATGTTATCAGAAACTCTTAAAAATTGAGTCCAAAACTCATTATACAAAATATTTTCTCCAAAAAAGTGTCAATTTTTTTAAAATTCTGTTTTTTCTAAATGCCAATAAAAGTGATTTCGCTGTTACCAGACTGGAACAGTCTGAAATAACATTGTAATGCTATATCTCTCTAATTAATTATTTAAATTTTTTAAAGGCTTTATTTTATTTTACTTTTTTTTTTTTAGGACTTGAAGAACTAATTAATCTGACTAGAGTAAATTTATCATACAACCACATAAATGATCTTAGTGGTAAGTAGAAATGCTTATGTTTTCTGTATGCTAAATGTTTTGCTGCATGTGATGCTAAGCATGTTGGATATCTCTGAATATTAATCTAATTTTTAGCCAAAGAGCTCATCTACAGAGTGTATTCCAGTCATAATTCTGTTTTGTTGGTGCCAGAACCACAGCTGAGTACAAAATTTAGAAGTAAAAACCAAGGTAATCAGTAGCAGGAAAAACTTGATTGGAAAGGATCCAGTTTAAGGGAATATGTTTTAATTTTAGCCAATTAGTCAATGTACTGTTATATAGAGAAGAATAGTTCCAATAGAACTTTCACAGTGGTAAAAAAGTGTTCAGTATGGTAGCCAGTAGCCAAATGTGGTTATTGAGCACTTGAAATATAATTAGTGCAACTTAAGGACTGAATTTGTAATTTTACTGAATTTTACTTCGAAAATAAAAAGCCACATGTAGCTAATTGCTACCATGTTGAACAGTGACATACTGCATTCCAAAGGCTGTTGCAAGTTAAGGAGCAAATAAAATGATATTTTCTTTTTATCTGTAATACAGCTAAGAAGATTTTAAAAGTGTTGCCTTTTTTAATTGATTAAAGTGATGCAGCTAGTAAGTTGAACAGTTTCATGACTATTCTTAGAATTATCTGTTAGAACTAGCAGAATTCCTCTAATATCTTCACAATCTTTGTCAATATTTGAAACAATCTCATTCATTGGTTGACTCTTCTCCCCCACTAAAAGAACACTACCCTGTGCCAGCTGCCTAGTATACAAAAAATAAAAAGACCTAGTCTGTACCCTTAAGCTGAAGTAACAACTGTATTTTAATTTTTTAAAACCTTTTTTCCTCTAAAGACATGAAGTATTAGAACTGAGTTTCGCCAGGCACGGTGTCTCACGCCTGTAATCCCAGCACTTTGGGAGGCCAAAGTGGGCGGGTCACCTGAGGTTGGGAGTTCGAGACCAGCCTGACCAACACGGAGAAACCCCATCTTTACTAAAAATACAAAATTAGCCGGACGTGGTGGCGCATGCCTGTAATCTCAGCTACTCAGAAGGCTGAGGTGGGAGAATCGCCTGAACCCGGGAGGCGGAGGTCGCGGTGAGCCGAGATTGCAGCATTGCACTCCAGCCTGGGCAACAAGAGCGAAACTCCATCTCAGAAAAAAAGGAACTGAGTTTCAACCCTGGCCTTGTCATTAATTACTGTGTAATGATGAGCGAGGTGTTTACTCTTTGGATGCAATTTCCTTATCTAAAGAATGTGAATGGATAAGATAGTCCATTCTCAGTATGTGTTTATGAAGATCACTATATCAAACACTGTCTTATCGTGATGAAAAAACCAACAATAAGAAGTAAGATAAGTTACAGGGCTTACATTATAGTGGGGAAGAAAAACAACCCCCCAAAAAATCAGCAAAAGATTTGAACAGACACTTCACCAAGAAGATACATAAATGGCAAATAAGCCATGAAAAAAAAAATGGTTGTAATCCTTAGTGATTAATGAAATACAAATTAAAACCACAATACCATTTCACCCCTAGAATAGCTAAAACAGTGACAGTGCTGGTGAGATTGTGAAGCAGTTGAAACTTGCATACATTGCTGGTAGATTTAAAATGGTACAACCACTTTGGAAAGGAGGTTTTTGTTTTTTTTAAATTTGAGATAGAGTCTCGCTCTGGAGTGCAGTGGTGTGATCCTAGCTCACTGCACCCTCTGCCTCCTGGGTTCCAGCGATTCTCCTGTCTTAGCCTCCTGAGTAGCTGGGACTACAGGCATGCTCCACCATGCCCGGATAATTTTTCATATTTTTGGTAGAGATGGGGTTTCACCATGTTGGCCAGGCTGGTCTTGAAATCCTGGCCTCAAGTGATCTACCCACCTCATCCTCCCAAAGTGCTAAGACTACAGGCGTGAGCCTGTACTCGCTGTCACTGTGCCTGGCTGAGTTTGACAGTT